AGTCTTCCTGTATGTTACCCTGATCCCCTGTCCTGACATGCACCTCTGTCACCTTTGTGATCCCATCCCCTTGCTCCTCTGTTTTATCAATCATGGCCTCCTGGTTGCTGTCCGCTTCACTCTGAGTCTGGGTGTGCCCGTTGTCATATTGAGACAGGGCAAAGCTGGTTCCCCTTATTATAGAGGACACGCTGTATATCCCTCTGAAACCTCTTTTGCGCTTCCCTGGCGCTACTTGCCTAGGCACGCCGCCCTCGGAAACGATCCCAAGCGATGCTTTCCGCGAAGAGCTTGACCCAGAATTTTTCTGTCTGCGGTATCGTCTGTATATTGATAGTCCACCTCCTTGATAGGACCGGTCGCGGTGGCTAAGTTTCAATAGCGGGCCGAGGGTAGGCACACAGGCTGCAATAATGACAAGGTATTGCTCAACTACCGCCCAGGTAGCCAAGTCGATGCGGTTCCAGGAATAGTTCGTACGATCGGTAAGCCGGGTAAGGTAAGAGGCTTTTATAACAGCTCCGGCAAAAGCACTATTATTATACGTAGAGGGGTTAGAGAATTTGGCAAACCAATTTTCGCCCAAATAGATATAGAGAGGGGTGGGTTTCTACACTAGACCAAGCGAAAGGATACTTGCAAGCGCGAGTTTGACGCGTAGTGGCATTTGCAGTCTAGAGACAACAAATATAGGATACCCTGCAAGCACTAGGTCTGATAAGGCGGACGAAGCTGCCGGGTTATATTTAGCATACAATCTCTTTTATACTGCAGGAAGTGTTTTAACTAACCACTCTGAAGAAAGGTGTAGTTCCGCAGGACACTTGGATTCCAGCAGCTCCCCTTAAGCGTTAGATCCCAAAATGCATTAGGGGGTCGGCATTGGCCCACCATAATGTACACGCATCCTGTGTTGATGAGGGTCAGCAGGATTATACTTGCGTAGAAATAGAGCGCTTGACGTTTTGCCCTCTCTATAATGCGTATGATAAGTAGCATAGCGGAGACCTTTCCCCAGTTTATACACATGATATGATAGGGTTGCGAAAGCCAGGTGTACTTGACGATTTGTATGCGCTGGTCCTTGTCAAGATAGGCCCAACGGCGCCCTAGGCCGCCACTGATAGCGACGGTGAGCAAGGCCGAGTTGATGCATCCGCAAACCTAGTAATAATAATCACAAAGAAACCTGTGTCATTTCAAGTATATACCGTGTATGAGAGAAGTAGCTTACCGCAGCTAGGACCATAAAACCATCATCCCAGCTTAGCTGCTTCGTGAGGTGGGTGCGTATCCACAGTCTCGTGAAGAGCATCGCGGTCGAAATGCTGAACAGAGTCCACATGACGGATAACATCCGAGGTCCCTTGTTGTCAGTGGGTGATCCTTCCATTTTGCTCAGTAAGCTCAGTTTCACTGCCGCGAAGGCATACGACGTCTTCGATGGTCAGGTTGCGAGACCTCGCCTGACTGAGCTTGAAGCAAGGTGAAGGCCCCAAGGAGTTATATAAACCATGCGGTAAGGGTATGAAGGGTAACGGTATGATGAAGGATACTCCGTATGTAGTACTAGACGCGTGGCAAAGGCTTAAGTTTTCAGCAGCCCGTGCGTGTTTGGCGTCAATATTCTGATCAATCCCAAGTTGGCGGCTGTTGAACCATCTCAAAACCGCGTTCGAGGTTGTCTGGCCAGTCTCACGATTTACTTGGGAGACGGGAAAACACATATTAAACTTATTACCAAACCATTACCACCACTTCCACCTAGCCATGGCTGGATAAGTTTGCACTCGTAAGTCCCGATGGAAAGCCATGACGGAGTCGATGGCAAAGTCTCAATGCTATTGGATACTAGCATCGGCCTCTGACCTAATTCTCTTTGCTGCGTGGAGAGTAACTTTCGCTTGCAGGTTGCAGGTTACCCGAGCCCCAATCCACTTAGACAAAGCCAGTTAGGATTGACGGTGGCTGGCCCCAGACTGTAGCCGCCAGTTTAGATGGAAACGAGCAAACATCTCCGTACGAACAGGGGCTCAGGAGTTGCGTATCAGGATTAGCAAACCATGGCATTTCAATGATGCCAATAATGAAAGTGTGTTACCTTCTGTGTCTGAGCCATCATATCATCGTTCACCTGCCTACTCCGTTGATAGGGACCAGGAAGGGCGTCTCAAACCTCCCAAATATGATTCGTCTGTTGACAAGGTGATCAACTGCTTGAGCTCATTTTTCTTCAGTCTACCCGTGCCACAAACTCATATAATGGGTGCTGGCCACATCAACGTTACGTACTACAGCAACGTAACAACATCTCTATTAATAACGTATAAATATTGTTTTATTAATAACCACTATGTCTGAAGATTACAAATCGATTAAAAAGTATATATTAAAGGTTGTCGAATATAAATCTAACTGTAGGAAAGTTTTCTACGTAAAAGCTTGTTCAGCTTCCGCCGCAAAAAAAGGTCCTAGTATGAGTCTGATGCCAGCACCAGATTTATCCCTCGAGACCATCTTTCTATTTACAGTAACCTTCCACTCGATAGAGTAGTGTATACTACATATGAGTGAGTCCTTATCATAGGTACTCGCTTGGTCCCAATCTGTTACCTAAAGCAAAGCAAACTTCTCCGATTGTGGCCGCCGTTGTTAAAGGAGAGCAGTATTACTATTATTTCCTTTAGGTATCTAGTTAGACAATAGAGAGACGGGATAACTACGTCTACGTAGGCTAGGTTAGCATCTAACGTTTGCAAAGTCTCAAATAGGTTTCAGCCGTCGAATAATTAGGATAGAAACTTATCAGGAAACAGAATATTAGAGCACGGGAGATACCTTCTATAACTATATTTGATATTCCCTTTCTCGAATAGTCTACCCGTCAGAAAGCCTTTCGCTGGTCCAACACATTTTCTTCGAGACGGATATCACGTGATTATCGGTCCCCTTTCATGTAGTTCACGAGTTAACTAATAATTGACGACTTCAGAAAAGTGTGGGCCGATCCACTGTCCCGTCGGAATTAACCTCGATTTTTAGCTTATCCGCCATTTACGTATCGAGTTCATAGAATGATAGCCTCCATGATTTTAGGTTCCTTTGTAGTAGTTATATAGAAACCTAGGAAAGACAAATAAACTCTTCCGTCACTCAAGGCTGTATAGGTACTCTAAAAATCATATTTATTTATAACTCTTCCCCGTACTGCCCTTCGCTTCGTTTTCTTATAATATGACTTATTGCAAAAGGACCAATCATAGACATGAGGATGGACGGGTCAAAACCTATGGGCCAGTGGGTGGGTGCGCGCCCACCGCCCATATGGGCGGCCCACTTAGGGGCTTAACCCGCCCTGGGTGGTCCACCTTTAGCTAAATGGGTAAATTGGCCGCCCATGGGTCCCACGCTGATAAAAAAAGCAATAATTTTAATAAAAATGCTAATGATATAGTATTACAAAGTATATTATTAAGAAGTTTAAAGTTTCACTAGCTAGATTAGAAAATGTCGGATATTGCATCACGTGACCTCATACGCCCCCCTGCACATCCACTTATACACGGCTCATGTAGAGTTAGCCCTTTCCCACACACATATATAGAGGCCCAAAATGGCCTGGTAGCCTAGATATCATCATCATTCATCTATTTTACACCCATTTTGCGACCTTTCCTGTAGTGTTCCGGGTTTTACAGCATCACATTGCTGTTCCGCTGTGTTCCGTAGAGACGCCACCCTATTGGTTGATTGGTCGCCTCCGAGAGAAAATGATCTGATCGATTGATGATTGATTGATGATTGATTGATGATTGATTGATGATTGATTGATGATTGATTGATGATTGATTGGTTCATTTACGCCGTCCCAGCCGCTTTGTCAGCAGCTATGCAGCCTGTGTCCTACCACGTGGCCCCAGCTTTAATCACTTGCACTAAGATACATGAAGAAAAATTTAATAAACAGTAAACTAAGTGTGCCGTGAACATTGCAAGTGATCTCTAGTTTACGTAGGTTGGTGAATCTTGGAACCAGGGATCTCATTAGTTGAAGCGTATCTTTTGAGATATCCCAGATGCTATTTAAGTTCTTGATCATGGTTGTACTAGGGATTTTTGATCGATTGATTGCTGCGACCGTTGAGGCTGCCGTGAATAGTAACCTGGCAGTGGCGGAGATTTCCAAATATATCTCCTGGTAATTTCCACGGAAACGGCGAAGATAAATGGGTGCTGTTGCACTCAAATAATACGGGGAAATGGCGCCAAAGTGCATCGCAATAGAGGAAACTAAGGCTCTTGCATACGTACTTTCCTGAAAGGTGTGGTACCGACCAACCCCAACCTTGCATGGACTTCGATAATTCGGTCAGCATCATATTCTGGCTGTGTTGGGTGCTGGCAACGTGGCCTGTATTGTTTTGATACGCTTCTAATACAATAAGGTAATAACGGTTTGTTTTATGTCCTTACTCTATCGTTCAAGACCGAATTATACTTAACATTTCGATTTACGCCCGGAAGGCCGAATGAGGCTCGATCTGCGGGCCAGATCCGGCCATTCTCGCGCAACGTGGGCGTGCGCGGAAGCTCTGGGACCGTCCACAGTACCGCACACGCACCACCGATCACTCTCACGTGACTGTTGCAGTTGACACTTCGCTCGCGACGTCGAATGTGAATTAGCATGCAACCGCCCATTCTCCGTGCGCTCGATCGCTCAATCACCCTCCATCACCTTGGACTCCATTTCCTGCGCTAGTGCCAAGAATGATGTCGCTCATCGACCCCTGCCACGCTGAGCGCGGACGGCTCCTATATATTCTCCCCAGGAACCCCCCCTCTCCCAAGGTACCCTCTATGCACTGCTCAAGATACCTCTCCCCCATGCGTCGTTCAACTCCTCATTCCCACTGCCGACTTCTCTCTTCACCCGTGCAGCAAGTCCCACCCCGCCTTAATACCCACCTACATTTGTGATCAGTGTCGCCTTCGGGCCAATGTCCCGGCGCAGGCAGCGTCGCCGTGACTCTAGCGGCGAGGGCAGCAGCGACAGCGACAGCGAAGCAAGCACAGCTTCGTTCTGCCCCTCCAGTGCCCCCGAGTCCGATGTGGGCTCCGGCACGGATATGACGTCGCCCTATCTTTCTGGTAGGTCCGACGATGGGGGCGCGTCCCCCAAGAAAACCGGAAAGCCATCAAAAGCGGTTCGGCGGCCTGTCCGCGGCAATAGCGTATCTCGCAGGAGGATCGTAATACCAGCACACACTGTGCGTAGAGAGCGAGCGCCCGGCAACGGGGCGACGTACAAGCAACCGGGAAAGCCGTCAAAATCGTCAAAAGCTGTTCATAGCAAGCCGCTCTCCGAGTCTAGATCCGACACAGAGTCAGAGGACCCGGACGACGACACCGACGACGACCTGTCGTCTAACGACGGTGACGGCTATGCGGACTCCACCCTCGAACAGTTCTTGCAATGATATTAGGCGTAGGTGATAGGCCCCTACGGGCCAATCGAGTAATATGCCCTAGGAGTCCTTCCTCTTGTGAACCTGATAACTTTTGCGATATCGTGACCCGGCCTCTTGATTCGATACAGTTTGGCCAGAATAGCGGGCGCGCAAGCGTTTTCCGGTCGACTTTCCACTTTCTTGCAGTTTGTGAGTAATTAGGAGTCTCTTGCGACTTTAAATCTTTAATCGCAGCTGCAATTGCAGCCTCATTGACCATTATATAGCGTTTTGTAGATGGTGGCTGGTGGGTGAAAATATTTACGATTGGGTGGTCATCTAGTGGTGGTGGTCATGTGGTGGTGAGCTACGTTACTGTATTTAGCATCCACCGTAGATAGACATTTATCGATCTCTACTTTTGACAGCCATTTAACCACGAATAAAAGAGCCAATTTTTTTATTAATGTAGGTTTGTATCATTATTGAGAAGATCCACGTCGCTGCCAAAATAAAGACCCGGCTGACCCTCCGGAGCGACATCGCCACCTGTGCTCTAAGCCACGGGCTTGGGTCGAGGCATAGGCCTCCCGTGGGTTAGACTATGGGTCGGGCCAAATGATGGGTCAGAGGTTGAGCCTGTGGATCGGTTCCGACCCGTCGTGACGGAAGTCTAACTGCTTCTGTTACTTTCCGAATCCGAGATACCTTGACCAGCTCTGTATCCTGCTGAGAGTATATGATGCATTTATTCCTTATTCACAAATGGGCTCCGGTCCCTCTGGCTACCGGTTTGCTGACCCCTATAGTTATTATTCTAAAGACTCTACTCTAAAAGATCCTCAAGGTTGCGGAGGTGAATGCCCTAAAATGAACTCTACCTAGACGGCTTTGCTAACTAACCACCCAAAATTAGTCGCGGCCCCGCAGAGAAAGAACATACCTGTTCCATACCTACTGTTAGGTGATTAAAGTTAAACGGGTTTTCTACCTTTATACCTAATCCTGGCACTAGGTCTACTTATTTACCCTTAGGTATTCTTCCCGGCCACCACCTATGAACCAAAAGCGCCGGACTAAATTCAATTATATACTAATCACCTTGGATGTTAATAATTTAAGTAGGAAGGTAGAGCTATAAGTTATTAGTAATATGATAGTAGAATCAAAAATCTAGGTATATGACGGGTGCCTTGACAGAGTCGCCGATATAGAAGCAGTAGTAAGGCCAAATATCATACCTTTTGATATCTTTCTATTATAGTTACTATAGCCGCCGCGTGCCCTTTCCGAGTTATGTTAACTGCTCTTCTGGAAAAAAAAAGCTACCGCTATCTTCCTTATCCCAGTTACTATCATCCTGAGCCTCTGTAATGTTGGTTGGGACTTGCTCTGGTAAACTGTCCCAGTCGATATACTCTATCTTATCGCTGTCCACTGCCGTAACTCTTGAATCATACCAAAATCCGTCGTACTCGATCTGGCCAAATCACAGAATAAGAATTGCAACCCAGTAGATGTACCGCACGGTACTCTGGTAGAAATAGTACATACCTGAACCTTTTCACCAACTTTTGATAGATTAATGAATACCTTTAACGACCCTAAAAGCATATAGTCAAACTCTAATATAGTAGAAGTTGAGGAGTTGTTGTCGTCGCGTAACATCTTATTAAAGAAAGTCTTAAGAAGCCTTATAGAAAATATAATAGAAGTTGAATCTACACCCGCTGTAATAACGTACTGCCCCCTGTAATATGCTTTAAACTTAGTAATATAAAGATTATAGCTCCAGATATGATTATCTAATTCTAGCTTATGCCAGATAGATAATATAGCGCTAATAGAAATGCCCCTAATTGAACAAATTTATATTAAGATATTCTTACGCTTAATTTGATTAGTCTGAAGGTAGTAAATATAAACGTAAACATCTTAAGTAATATCATTAAAGTAAGTAAAGAGATCGTCGCTGTTTAATTCTATAACCTCCCGCTTAGTAACAATTCCAAGTTCATTAGATATTAGAACGGCAACGATTTAAGCAGAGATTCAGCCGATATAATCAGAAGGTGACTTAATTACCACTAGGAAAGTAAGATCCCTAGATACCCTTTCATATTCAACGAGTGTACTATAGCCTGCGCTTTTAAGGACCAATCTTCTAAGTATCTCTGATAAAGAGAAGTCATAAAGAAGATTAAAATAGTCCTAAGGCTTAATATAACCCTTATATAGTGAGTTAAGAGTAAACTAAAGAGCCAGAAGCTAGAGAGGCTAAATAGTAGAAAGATAACGCGTGCTACTTTAATTAATATAATAGTAAGATCCTTACTTATAAAGGAGGTTGATATTTCTAGTTCAAAAAATCCTAGTTAGTATCTTTTTAAGAATAAAAGACGTTTCTACCTTATGGACAAAGCATACCTAAGAAACGTATAATATCTGTTAAGAAAGCGATATATTAGTATTATATAGTGATATTTAGAAATAAAAAGAATACTTTAAGTGTTTTTACTTTATAGTAAAGAGCTAAGGCGCTGAGTTCATCTTTTTAAAATCTATCCTTCTAAAATAATACTCCTTCTAGGTTCAGCGTTTAATAATCTTTAATAGCCGACATATTAGGAAATAGAGTAGCCTCCTAGAGTCGTTAATAAAGGTATTTATATTCCCTTATAAGGTTTCCTACTATCTGGTTAATACTAGCAAAATCCATGCTAAGATCAAGGTCGAGTATATTTTTATATACAAATTGTGTTTTTATGATAGGGGTGGATTCAATAGTTTCCTTTCCACTCATTGGCTTCCTTTATTCTCTAATGTCGCTAAGAATTGTAACAGACACTGCGCTACATACCTTTTCAAGTTGTTTAGTCTTGCGTTTAATTTCAGCAAGAAGATCAGGCATCCTACTAAAAGCCCATATCCACTAGACAAATTTCTTACCACGCGCTTCTAGGTTCTTACTCATAGTTATTATTCTAGCAAGATCAATGTCCAGGGCCTTCGCGCATTTTATATATATATATACAATGCTTTATAGGATATCCAGGATATTCATAAACTCTGACCTATAGGTCTTTATAATATCCTTATTTATAGGATTCTTAAAAACCTTTAATAAAAGTATAAGGCTAGTGGTTAGCAGTTAAAGGTCCTCGGCAGCTTAGTTAAATAAGTTAAGTTAGGTCTTAATTTCTGACCCGAGCTTGATAAGGAGGTTTAGCGTAGAAACAATATCTAAGCTAGATATAGTGATTATATAGCGAAGGCGGCTTTTTTTTTAGCAACCTTAACAAACCTCTTAGTTCTGGCTCCGGCGCAGTATATAGGTTCTGCTATAGAGCGGTGGTGAATATGGTTAACTGATTCATGAAGCCTAAATAACTTACTTTTAGGTAATAGTCGGAGGTTGTGGAACAAAAAGCGTTAGAGTAGCTGTCTAGAAGGTGAAAGAATCGATGTCATGTGATGTCACGTGCCCTACATTGTATTCTTAGAGAACTCTCGCCCCTTACCCCTCTAAGAACAAGCAATATTTAATCTAGCATTTTGTATCTAATACTATACGCGTTTATCCTAGTTCGATAGCATTTCTTATATTCTAAATGTTCTTAGAAAACTAGCTAGAAACCGATACAAAACAAAACTCCAAAAAATTATATCCTTTTTGTAACGGTGGGCATTCAAAAAGATGTTGATGCATTTTGTGTGACGGCTTGCTTGGTGGTTCGGGGTCGCAGGAACGTTGTTCCGACATTTCGATCAGTTTGTTTGTGCACAAGCCGTTCCGACGATGTCTTGGAACGAGCAAGACATTGTAGCGATCAACGTCACGGCCTTCCGAGACAGCACCAACGAGCAGCGGAGGTCAGAAGGCTTCGGGCATGAGCAAGATGAAGAAGCAGAGATTGAGAGACATGTACGAGAAGGACAAAGAAGCTGGCAAATGCCGATACTATGATCGGTCCGACGTGCGCTCTGATAGAGAGTATATATTGAGCCACGAGCAAGGCCTCGCTTGCTTGTTTCCTTCTTCTCTTCTTCACTTTTGTATCTTAGTTCATAGGTGCCAGTATGTTTTCATTAATATATTGAATGACCGTTACAGTAGTAGTAAAAATATTTATGTTAGGTGATCATTAGGTGGTAGAGATCATTGGGTGGTGAGTTATGTTACATCAGAAAGGATTTTGACCCACCTTTTCGCCCCGATTTTGTTATTTAGGCTGCCAGCGGGGTTTGTGCTCTCCTTAGAATGAAAAGTCCACCTCCCATAATGAAAAGCTTAGGCCTGACCTATTGCTTCTTCGCTCACACTATCTCTAATCTAATTCTATAGAAGGCTAGCTAAAATAGTCTAGGGCGGTAGGCTTAGACGCCCTAGAGCTTGCTAATTTCCTAGTTATTAGGCATAGTGTTAAAACACTACGGCATTTTAAGAAAGAAAAAAGGATTCTTACTATTCAATCTAATATTCTCTGGATAATCAAATATATATATATTAATTCTCTTCTTAGGCCAGTCTTTTACTCTACGCGGCCGCCCTTATCTATTAATAATACTTTAGCTATTTATATTCTCTTTATCCAATCGCGTAAGTCAAGATATAATAGCCTATAAAGCTATTTAGCGGCGCTACCTAAGAGCTACTCTTTAAGTATCTTTTTTATAAAGAATAAGTTAGAAGTTTACGCTAGAACTTTATTATATATTATTATAAAGTAGCTAGAGCAATATATCTAGAATAATTATAAGGTATTAGTTATATAACTATTTATTTAGTATTAAGATCTTTTTCTACTTAGTAAATTCACTATTAAAGATATAGGTATTATATATATATAATAAATATTATAAATTAATAACTAATACTTCTTTCTACTCTTTTAATATAAATAGGCACTTTATACTATATAGAGTCGCATAATAGATTTTATACTACCTAATAAAAAATTAATTTAACTTTTGGCACCCTTTATAGATATATTAAACTACTTATCTAATATTAGATAGTATCACGCCTATATCACAAGCTAACGGCGCTCCTTGATTACCTAAAGGTGATCAGAGGTTCACACCTGCCGTAAGACAGAAGGTACGAAGGTCTTAGGGAAAGCTTGGGTTGGAAGTGAGTCGTTGTAGGAGACGGCTCAGTACTAGGGCGAGATAGAATACTATAGCGAGACTATCCCTCAGTTCCAAGTGTGGCTTCAGTCAGTGTCTGGGTCGGATGAAGGCTAAAGGTCCTTGTGAGCAGTGAAGACAAAGTTGACCTACGTCAATGGGCAAAGGGGTATTTAGTGAATATAGTATAAGACAACTGGAATGGTGCTTTGTATTGAGTAGTATGGTAAAACTGTAGCTGGTTTGATCGCGAGTATAAGACTCTTGATCCTGAGGAAATGAGCGTCTTTATATACATGGTATATCTGGTCCCTTCCTCCTGATTCTTCTCAGGTCCTATTGTGGACCTGATGTCCCGGTCCCTTCGTGGACCTTTCATGTTCGGTCCCATAGGGACCTGTCCCTGGTCTTGGCATCTGGGACCTGTCCTTATGGTCACGTGATGTGTAGTTATTCCGTCCCGGAATCTTGTTGTCCAATGAGTGTATATCCTGAGGCTGCGCCGCAGGTGGTCTGTAACAGCCTATAATCCCTTATCTAGAAACCT